GACAACTCTTCACCTTTTTATTTTTTATTTTATTTCTAAAAGAAAAACCTATCTTTCTCCCGTTTTTTTCCCTATCACTGTCTAAACAACATTTTTCCCTGGAAGGAAATTTTGGTATTGCTCTTTTTGGGAGAACCAAGAGAGCCAAAACAATATGGACAAGCATTGGTTGAAGAGAAATGCTAGAATCTTTGATGGCAAGTATGCAAGTGTAGAGGCTTTGTGGGATAGGGTGGATTATTTGGCATCATTTTGGGCATTTGTATCCCCTCCTTTTAAAGGAGTTCCCTTGTTCTTGATCTCTGGGGATTGGGCTGCTGTTTGCCTTCCCTAAGGCTATGAGTTTTATGTTTCTGTTTTGCTCTTTCTCTTTCTCTCTTTGTATGAGGACTCCTTGTGAAATAAGCTGTACTGATAGCAAGCAACTAACCAATTCATTCCAGAATTATGAAGTTTCTCGTGTCTTGATTTGGAATGAAACCTTCCTTGTCTCTATAAATAAATCTCTATTTCATTCTAAAGAAAAAAGATGTTTCTTAAAATTGAAGCAATAGATCTTAATTTGTGCACGTTAAGAACTTGGGTCTGTGACGATTTGTACGAGGCATATGCTTATGTCAAGAAGAATAACCACAAAATTGTATGAAATCTTATTATTAAGAATAGTTTAAAGTAGCTTTGACAAATGCTTATATCAAGGAGGATAATCACAAAATTGTATGAAATCTTATTACTAAGAATAGTTTAAAGTAGCTTTTGTAGTTGACAAATTGACTATGTTGGCTTACCTCTGAATGCAGGAAAAACAATACAGAGCATTGCTTTTTTAGCATCTCTTTGTGAAGATAATATCTCTTCAAGGGAAAATAAAACCAAATAAGAATAAAATATATAAATATTATTTCCTATTCTAACACTTCCCCTCAAGCGGGTGTGAAGATATTTCTCATGCCCAGCTTGTTGAGAATGTTATGAAATGGTTTGCTCCCTAATTCTTTGGTGAGAACATCTGCTTAGTTGGTCCCCGTTGGTCCCCAGTCTTCACAAATGGAGTACATATGGTGCCATTAGTGAGTTTTTCCTTAATGAAGTGTCTATCAATTTCTACATGCTTGGTTGTGTCATGTTGAATTAGATTATGAGCTATGCTGATCGCCGATTTGTTGTCACAGTACCTCCTCATGGAATCGGTCTGATGGATCCCCAACCATCAAGTCCCCTAACAATAGTCGAATCCATAGCAACTCACATACACCCTAAGCCATAGCCCTAAATTCGGCCTCAGCACTAGATCTAGTAACCACATTCTGTTTCTTATTTCGCCATGTGACTAGGTTGCCTCCAACAAATGTGCAATATCCAAAAGTTGACCGTCTGTCAGTGACTGATCTAGCCCAATCCGCATCAGTAAATGCCTCCACACCGAGATGTTCATGTTTTGAGAAATAGAGACCGTTTTTAGAAAAAGACTTCAGGTACCTCAGGATTCTCATAACGGCCTCTAAGTGGGAAGTTCTAGGAGCATGCATAAACTGGCTAACCATGCTCACTGCAATGGCAATGTCTGGACGTGAGTAGGATAAGTATATGAGCTTACCCACTAGTCTCTGACATCTCCCCCTGTCCACTGGCTCTCCCTCTTGATCCTCACTTAGTTTTTGGCCCGGTTCTAGAGGTGTATCACATGGTCTATCTCCAAATACTTTTTCTGACATATGAAGATATCATCCTTGGACCTAACTACTTTAATGGCCAAGAAATACTTCAAAGTACCCAAGTCTTTGATTTCAAACTCCTTGGCTAAGTATTCCTTCAACAGAGGGATCTTCTCAACGTCATCCCCCTGTCAAAACAATATCATCAACATAAACAATAAGAAGAGCTGTTGTCTTACCATGTGAGGAGTGTTTCACAAATAAGGTGTGTCAGCTTGACTTTGCTTGAACCCATATCTTAGCATAGCTTGAGCAAACCTTTCAAACCAAGCTCTAAGAGATTGCTTTAGCCCATAAAGTGACTTCTGGAGCCTACATACTTTAGCTTTAGACTTAGCATCTACAAAACCATGGGGAATATCCATATAGACCTCTTCTACTAGGTCTCCATGAAGGAATGCATTCTTTACATCAAACTGATGAAGTGGCCAATTCAAATTTGCTGCAAGAGAGAGTAGTATTCTCACAGAGTTCATCTTAGCCATTAGGGCAAATGTCCACTGGTAATCTACCCTATAAGTCTGAGTGAAGCCCTCAGCAATCAGTCTTGCTTTGTACCGTTTTATGAAACCATCGACTTTGTGTTTTACAGTGTACACCCATTTACACCCAATTGGATTTTTGCCTCTAGGTAACTCCACTAACTCCCAAGTGTCATTCTTGCTGAGAGCTTTTATCTCCTCCAACATGGCATGTTTCCATTTAGGAATACAGAAAGCATCCTGAAAATTGATAGGTAGACTCACATAAGAAATCTTAGACAGAAAGGCTATATATGAGGAAGACAGATTAGAATAAGAGACATGATTAGTAATAGGATGTTAAGTACATCACCTAACCCCCCCTCCTATTAGCAATGGGAATATCAAAATCTGAAAACTCAGGAATAGGAGTATTAGGATCAGGATTACTTGGGTTTTTAGGAGAGGAGGATGAGTCTGGACACTCATCCGGAGAAGAAGTTGGCAGCAGAGGAAGGAAAGTAGTCTTTTGCATCCAGGTGACTTTGTGTCTATTCTTTGTCTCTGACATAAACTTTGCCTGCTTCCTTTTCCACAACAACTGTTGGTTCATCATCCGCAATCTGTTCAACCATTGGCTATAGTGAAACAATCTCTTTACACCAAGGTTCCCCCTGAAGGGATGACTGTGACACTGGAGAGATGAGAAAGTAAGATTGAGACTCAAAAAAGGTGACATCCATGGAGACAAACCATTTGCGAGTACTCCATTTGTGAGGACTAGGGACCAATTAGCAGATGTTCTCACCAAAGGAATAGGGAGCAAACCATTTCATAACATTCTCAACAAGCTGGGCATGAGAATTATCTTCGCACCAACTTGAGTGGAAATGTCAGAATAGGAAATTATATTGTTAGAATAGGAAATTATATTCACATATTTTATTCTGATTTAATGTAATGGGCTGCAATGAGCTGGCCCATAATTCATGCCTTATGGCACTTCTGTAATTATGATTTATTCTGAATATAAAAGGGGATGAGGTTTCACTCATTCCCTAACTTTTTCTCTTCTCTAAAATCTTCAGCATCCACAAATCATATGAGCGAATAATATGGAACACTGCATATGATATTCATTAGGAACTTTGGAGAGATACACATGAGATGATATTGAAGGGGAAAACACTACCAGATATAATTAGCCTAAGAAGTGAAAGTGGTTTACAAGACAACCATATCTCATTTCTAAAACGCTGATCACAAGATCATAAAATCAACCACATAAAATAATCCTACTCATATTGTCTGTGGTTGGTTATGTGTCCCCGTACTTAAACCCACCTTTGAATATATGTAGGCCATCTCCAGCCCTTACTCAAAATTTTACTCGAATTTGAGTAAAAATTTGAATAAAAGGTTAATTTGATATGAATGGACAAACTCAGATTTAAGCATAAATCTAAGTAAACTACACTAAAGCAGAGTGGTAAATTTTGGAGTCACAAAACAGCCTTCAAAATTTTGAGTAAACTTGATTTGTCAAAATTTGAGTAAAACTCAATTTGGTATAAGTTTGGGTCAAGGAGTGGAGGTTGTTTGAGTGATTTTTGCCAAATTTTAAGTTTCATATACGTTTGAGTCAGAGATTCCCTAAATATAAAATACCAGCAAGTATACATTTAAATCTAAAAATATAATATGTCAGCACATTCATGTCAAATAGAAGTAAAACAATAAACAAAAAAATAAAAATTGACTAAAACCCACAAAGAAGAAGATTTCTTCAAACTAACATCCAGTAAATATAAAAATACAGTCCCTAATTAGAAGAAGAATTACAACCCCGAACACAAAGAAGTCAACTGATTGAGAGAGTGAAGTACTGACTATTAAAAATGAAAGAATGAATGAATTTCCCATATGGGATTTTCCTCAAACACCAGTTAACAAATCCATACAGCAACAGAAAGAGAAAACAACTAAAAAAAAACTACTTTTTATAAATGGAACTGTTTATTGCAATATGAACAACGAAAAAATCAAGTGGGATCAAAATCAAGAAAAATTTATACTGTTATGTAAGAAAGAAAGATAGATACCTATGAGAAAGTAGGAAGTTTCCCATCTTGTATGGGGAGAGAAGAGGGTTATGGAGTGGATGCTCTTGCTCTTTCTCTTCTTGTCCTTGCCCTACTTGTTCCAATTCCATTTTTATTCACTGAAAAAGCTTGAAAAATGGAAGTTTGTCGATGAGTGAATGAATGAATGATATCCCAAAAACCAAAGAGAGTGAAACTGGGATTTGTTAACAATACAAGAAAGAATATTACAGGACAGGAGGCTCCAATATTGGATTAGGGGAAGCTGGGTGGGGGTATATATCTTAAGAGGATCTTATTCTTAATTTTTTTTCTTATGAAATTTAAATTTGATAAAAAAAAATAATAATAAATTATTTTCAATTCATTCATTAAATATTTCATCAAATAAAAAAGATGAAGTATTGAAAATAATTTTTTCATAAAATTTGATGAGAGAAAAATTGAGTAAATTTTAAAAAAAAATTATAAAAATTTGAAGTATCAAATTGTTTATATTAAATCAAAGTTTTTTTTGTGGAGGCTTTGGTGGCCGAGCCGTATATAGTCGCACTTTAAGATGCGGTGACTGAAAAATTTAGGATTGGGTTGATAGATTAGTATTCTTTTAAGTTGTATCCTAAGTTTAGTAACATACTAACATTCTATTTTGATTAAAAAAAAATTAAAAAGTAAATAACAAATCATTTTTTATTTAAATTTAAAATAAAATAAAATAAAATAAATTGAGGAAGGGTTAAAAAATGTTCTAATAAAGAAGGAGAGAGAGGCTCCAATCCAATAGAATTCGGGTCAAATTTTGCAAGTTGAGATCCTCTCCGTGGTCTCTCTTCTTGCCTCCCTACTTGCAGCGGTGGAGATGCATCCCAAGATGATCCAATAGTCCTATTTCCAAAAAAAAAAAAAAAATAATTAAAAAAAATTGAAATAGCCAAATCTGGATTGTTAGATTATTTTAAAGTGCATCTCCACCGTTGCAAATAGAGATGCAAGGAGAGAGATTAAGGAGAAGATCTCAACTCACAATGGCGGGGCAAGTTTTAGATTACAATAATGTTAAAATGATTAGTGTATTAATAATATATTAAGTAAATATAATCCAATATATTATTAAATAAAATTTAAAGGGTAAATTACACTGACACCCTCTGAGATTTATGTTTATTACAGTCCCCCCTCACCTTTTAGAAATTACATATCTCTCCTGAGATTTAAAGTTTCATTACAGATTCTCCCTCAGCAATTTAATTTTTTTAAATATTAATTTTGCCAGTAAATTACATTGACACCCCTCACATTTTAGAAATAATAATCCCCTCCTTAAGGTTTAAAGTAGTATTATCAATTGCTCCATCGGTTAGTATTAGTTGGAAAAAAAATTCATTGAAAAAAAAAATAATTGGAAAAAAAACTTATTAGTAAAATTTTTAAATTTCTGTTTAAAAACCAACGTAAGCTCATTTTTGAATTTATTTTTTTTTCTCAAATTTACAAACTGAGACAACCATTTATAAACTAAAAAAATTATCAAACAAGTTTTTATGGTAGTTTTCAAAATTTTTGTAAATATAAATTGAATACTGAAAACGAAATAGTTACCAAACATGCTTCAGATGGTAAAAATGTTGTAAAATTAACAAATAATTAAATAAGTTACGAACGTAAGAAAATACTCATTAAAAGATTCTTAGGTTATGTATGGTTTGATTTTTAGAATTTTTTTAAAAAATTAAAAATTAATTTGGTTAAGAAATAAAAAATAAAAAAATAAATATCATCAGGTGCAGGTCTAGAACCAAGAGACCCTGGCTCAATGTTCCGTACCGGCCGGTTCGTAACGAAAAATGGGAGTGCCGAGTCGGATACTCACCGGTATACCGATGAGAATGAATTTCACGTCCGTAGCGGCCGATTCCCGACACGTATCGGCTTGAATCCGATACGTGAGCGATATAGTGTCCGATTCGTTTCATGCTCTGTTTTTTGTTGAAGGTTTTTCTCTCTGTTTGTATTTGTTTCATGCTCTGGTTTTTTCTTTCTTCTTTATTCTTTTGTATTCATTTATAATATGCTCCGAAGAAACGAATCGTGATAACGGGAATGAGAGAAAAATACAAACAGAGCATGATTCATCCCTAACAACATCAGCTCCGAAAACATATTCGGTTTGTTTATAATATGTTTTTTTTTTTGTTTTCATGGCCCTTTCGAGACGCTTGAACCTTGCTTGCAATTCATTGATGACTTTGGAATTGCTATGCCCAAACAAAGTTTCAGAGATGACAATTGAAGCAAAGCTGTGTAGATCCTTATCAACCTTTATATTTGCTGTCCCACTTTGTTTTTCTATTTCAGTCTCCCATGTGGTGATTAGTTTCTTTGCAGAGTCCAACATTATGTGCACCAAATTCTGAATCATATTTTTCCGATCTAATCATTTATCTAACATTATGATGAGAGGTGGAGGTTAGTATTGTATTAGTACCTAAAAAATAACATATTTGTGAAAAATTAGTAATTTTTTTATAAAAAAATATTCACAAATATTTTACTTTTTAAGTGTATCTAGATAGTATTATTATTGTGTTGAATATTTTTTTTTTATTTGATGGGATCCTTGATTTTTTTAAATAACCAAACTATATATAATAAAATATTAATAATACAAATCAAAAAAAAATTAAGAGCTTTTGTTTGCTTGATGGGGGATGAGACTAAAGTTACCCTGATTATTGATTGAAAGTGCATTAAAATAGATAAAAAAAAATTTGTTGATTTGTAATAGATTGTTTGTATGCGATTATGACTGAAGCGAATGATTTATTTTCATGTCCCTCTTTCTCTTATTAATTTGTTATGCATGTGAAAGTATTTCATTGTTGAAAAAAAGTAAAAAAATATTTTCACATCAATTTTATATTAAAATTTAACATATATGCCAAATAAAAGCTTGAGACTAAAATAAATACATATCATTTAGTTGAAAATGAGTCAAAAGTGCCTCTACATATCAAAATTTTGATTAAAATATGATAAATTAAGGCTAAAAGAGTCAAAAAATACATAAAATTGAGTTTTAAAGGGATTGCTAAAGATTTTTGAAATTTCACAGCCGCGACGCCCGATACCCGATACGTACCGGTCGATACTCCTGATACCGATACTCCGCGATCGATACCGTTACGTTACCCGATACCGCGATTTAGAACTATCCTGGCTGCATAAAGAGACTGCCCTAGTTGCATGACTTCTTGGTTCAGTGAGGCCATTGCATCCGTAATGGTTTGAGTTGAACCCACAGAGATAGCATCCTTTAGTTCTTTCAGTTTGGTCTCCATCTTCTCCTTGACCGGAGGAGGAACCTTGGCTCCCAGCTCCTTAAGCTGCTTTTCAGTTTGGTAGACAACAGATTTCGCCTGATTTTTTGGGTCGATAGCATCTCTTTTTTCCTTATCTTCCTTTGCGAACTTTTCAGCCTCTTTAACCATCTTATCCACCTACAACATTTTCATTTCATCCAAATGCAGTTTTCAAGACTCATTAATGAGATACAGTTGAAGCAAGCATAAATTTGACTAAAAACAGTTTCAAAAAGTATGGGGGAAAAAAATCTTTCAAATTTTCTATTTCAGTCGGATCGTAGGAAATCAACTGATCACAATTTCAGTAATTTAAATGAAATAATTTCATTCTCCTTAAACATTTTACTTGGGCAATCTAGCAGTTGTTGATATCTCCTATAATTCCTTATCTAAATGCTGACCCTAAATTTTATTCTCTTTCTTTATAGAAAAACTCGCAATAACAGATGAGTATATATCAAGTGTCTGATAAGTGAGTTCCACTTCCTTGGTTAAATACCTATTCAACTTTCTATTGTCAAAAAGTTCAGATCTCAATAAATCAATTTTCTTTGACTGTCTTCAAGATAAAATAAATTTGCAAAACCAATATATAGTATGGTTTAGGAAATTCAGTTTTGCTTTCTTAACTATTACAGCAAGTCACCAGTTTAAGATCAACCTAAAAATAGTCACTTGTTTAACACTAACAATCTCAGAGATATTCATTACCAGTTTTTAACTACTCATCTTGTGGATCTCTTTCATTCGATAACATTACCGTCATAAGAAGAGTTAAACAAAGACATACCTCATCTTTAGGTAAGGTGCTAACACCGGTTATTGTGATGTCCTGCTTCTTTCCTGTTCCCTTGCCAACAGCTATGACAGAAAGAATGCCATTGGCATCAATGTCAAATTTGACTTCAATCTGTGGAACACCACGTGGAGCTGGTGAAATACTATCAAGACGGAAGCTTCCCAGAGATCGTAAGATTATAAGATTTATATACTAGAAATCAAAACAATATGAATATAAGTAACTATTAAAATATAAACTCAGATACATACTATTTGATTCTGTTATTGTCTTGAGTTTTGCTTATTCACAATTGGAAAACCTTAGCACCAGCTCTTTCCCTCCTTCTCCTAATCTTTACGTTGCCTTTTCAATGGGATTGACAACCCTTTGATCTATATATATATGTAAACCCTAATAAGGATAGAAGAGGGGACTGGACCTAAATAAAACAATTACTGGGCTCTCCCATTAAGGAACCCAAATAACTTAAAACAAGCCTTACACGCCTTACACCTCCATATCACATATCCACATATAAAATAATATATACACTAAGATGACCATGGCCCAAACTTTATGGATCACAATAATAATTTTGGGCTCATACCAGTCAATCTATCTGAATCACATTCAACCTGTTTTTCACAAACCAAACAAAATATAGTCAATGACAGCCTAATTAAGAATAAATTCTTACATTCTCCAACTTAGGCAACATTGACTACTACTTTAAGAAAATATTTTATTTAAGAAAAATAACTCTCCGGTTAAACAACTTTAGTAGCCACATAAACATGATTCAGAATAGAAACATCTCAGCACAAAATCCCGTTCAATGCGAAATATTAATATCGAACTATAGAGGTAATTATGCTATTAAACAACATAACACCTTCCACAATTACAAACACTAATATCTCACCAACATGGATTCCTATATGTGATAAAGTGTAGTGTGGAATTTCAACATAATTGATCCAAAAATTATATAACATGCTAATTCCACATTCAGTCCTCTGTATGGTCTTGACAAGACCCTGCAAGGAATTTTATTCCATTTTACACTTCCAAAAGAAGCCTTTATTCCTCTAAA